AGGTAGTTGTCCGTCGATAGCTCTCCTTTATCCAGTATGTATTGGTGGAAATTAAGGGCAAGTGGGAGAACTGCTTCCGACCACTGATAAGTCTGAGCGAAGTCCAGGATCTGCCTCATAAACATGAGGAGGTTGGGAATTGCCTTAGGATGGTTCTCGCCGAAGAGGTACCCTACAACGGCCAGATAGGCAAGAAAGCAAGTCGTCCATATCTGAGGGTTAGGGCCCCAGTCCTTAAGCGACGCTGCTGCCTTCTTGAAGCCCACTGTGCCTCCCGATTCGGTCATTTTGAAGACTCTATCCTCCTGATCTAGCTCGGTGACTGACTTCTCTTTGAAGCGTGTAAGTTCAGTCGCCTTCAACTTCCTCTCGAAGACGCGGATAAGAAGGGCGGCGGAGACACCCGGAAATATGTCGATGAGTGATTTGACCTCAGGGGGAGGCTCACGGTTTTCTTCGAGATTATCGTCATCTTGCAGGTCCACATGAGGTCTTCTGCGGCGTAGATCGGTCTCTGCTACATCCAATTCAAGGCGTCTAGCCCTGTCTTTCTGTATCTGCCCTAACCAACTGGCACGGTCTGCCGCACCCATAGTCTCCCAAATGTGGGCCGGTGGCCAAGCGGAGTCGAGCGGGGCAGGAGTGACACTGCTAGACTGGCTGAATGTCATGGTGGAGAGAGATATAGTCAAGGCTTATCGGTGCTGTTGCCGTAGGGAAGGACGTGAAACACAAAATTGACACTTGACTGCCTGAGAGATGACGAGCTACCCGCAGAGGCCATCAACTGACTCTCGTGAGGCAGTTGTAGGAGGAAGAGGCCCTCGGAAATGTCGGTGTAGATATCACGTGAGGCTACAGACATGGTGAGGCTACAGGCATTGTGAGGCAACCCCAATAAAACCACTCCCTTTACGGAAACCGGGCAAGCCAGATTACGCGATGCCCGGCGCTTACCGCCCAATCTCACTTTTGAACACGCTCGGGAAGCTCCTCGAGGCCGTGATGGCCCGACGGTTATCCTATCTTGCAGAGAAGCACGGCTTGCTACCGAACAGCCAGTTCGGTGGCCGCCCGGGCAGAACCACCGAGCAAGCATTGCTGGTGCTGTCCAATGCGATCGACCAAGCATGTTACAAACACAAGGTGGTGACTTTAATCGCATTCGACCTCAAGGGCGCCTTCAACGGGGTAAACAGGGTGAGCCTGGATGCCTCTTTACAGGCGAGAGGGATCCCGGTGGTGGCAAGAAAATGGATCGCGAGCTTCATGAGTGACCGGCACGCCAACATTGGATTCGACGATTTCCGTACCGAGACAGAGCTGCTAGTGAACGCAGGTCTAGCGCAAGGCTCGCCACTCTCGCCCATCTTGTTTGCATTCTTCAACACCGATCTCGTCGATCAGCCCGTCAACTCCCACGGGGGCGCGTCAGCATTTATTGACGACTACTTCCGATGGCGAGTGGGCCGCTCGGCCGAGGAAAACTTAGCCAAGATACAGTCCGAGGATGTCCCTCGCATTGAAGAGTGGGCGCGACGAAGCGGATCCTGCTTCGCGGCGGAGAAAACCGAGCTCATCCACCTTACCAGAAAGAGGGGAGAGCACGAAGGTAAGATCACCTTCGATGGAGCCGACGTCACGCCATCACCTACAGCCAAACTGTTAGGGGTGGTGTTCGACCAAGGACTTCGGTGGAAAGAACACGTTCAGCAGGCCATCAAACGCGCCACCAAGATAACTATCGCTCTAAGTGGACTACGACACTTGCGCCCAGAACAAATGCGACACCTCTACCAAGCATGTGTCACGCCCATTGTAGACTATGCATCGACAGTCTGGCATGACCCGCTCCGGGATAAGACTCACCTGCGACACTTGAACACAGTACAAAGAACTGCGTTAATCCGGATTCTATCGGCATTCCGGGCAGTAGCCACCACAACGTTAGAGGTGGAAGCTCATATACTTCCTACGCATCTTCGTCTTCGCCACCGCGCGCAGCGCACCATCGCGAGACTACATACTCTACCGCATGACCACCCCATTGGGAGCGCATTATCACGCGCCCAGGATCGTAGAAACAATATAGGATCGTAAGCGCGCTTCCCTCTGGCGGAAGCGCTGAAAACCATGGACGTCGACAGGCTCAGCGAACTAGAGACGATTGACCCACGCCCGCTGCCGCCGTGGCGAAAGGACGCCTTCGCGGAGATTGAGCTTGAACCCGACCGAGAAACAGCGAGAGAAAGGGCAGAGTCCGTAAGAGACACATCAGACATGGTCGTCTATTCGGACGCCTCCGGGCGTGAGGGTCATCTGGGAACTGCCATAGTCGCGCTCAACGACCATGAAGAGGTGATCGAATCTCAACAGGTCCAGGTAGGGCCGATGGAACGTTGGTCGGTCCACGTAGCAGAGCTCATCGGCATCTTCTATGCGGTCGATATGGTGTTCAAGCTGGCCCACCAACGTTCATTCGTCAGAAACAGCGCGCACACAACAGCAACCATTCTTTGCGATAGCCGATCGGCGTTGCAAGCAATCCAAAACGCGAGAAATAGGCTGGGGCAGCGAATTGCTCATGCTATCCTCCAGGCAGCCGCTGAGGTCCAGGGAGAGAACGTTACACTCCGCCTCCAATGGATGCCAGGGCATTGTGAAAACCCAGGGAACGACGCTGCAGATCGACTGGCCAAGGAAGCCGCGCAGCTGGGCAAAGCCCATCCCTTCCGGCCGCTGCTGACAAGGGAGAATGCATTTATTCGCGACAAGATTCATGCTCCATGGGAGCAAGAGTGGAAATCAAGCACCAAAGGTGCTCCCCTACGGGAAATTGACAACACCCTACCGGCGAGACACACCAGAAAGCTGTACGGGAACTTGCCCAGGAATCGAGCGTATTTGCGCACTCAGCTACGCACGGGCCACAACTGGTTATCCACCTTAGGTGGATAACCTACGCCAAGAAATTCGGCTTCCGCGACGATGACCAATGTGTGTGTGTAGCGCGGGAGACAGTCAGCCATGTATTATTGGAGTGTCCCAATCTACGAGAACTGCGGGTGAAATTGAGAAGAAATACCGGGGACGCGTTTCACAGCGTGTCGAGTCTGCTGGGAGGCTCAAATGAAGGTGAGAGAGGTAAACCAGACATCGTCTCGCGAGCCAAAACAGTGCAGGCTGTGATGGACTTCGCCGACGCGTCACAGCGATTTCGCAGTCGTGCGCCATAAGGACAGCCTAACGATGGGAGCGGCCATGGGCCACGATAGGCCGTGACGAGGCTCTAAGTTCATGTCAGAAAGTGGATCACTCCACATGTACATACTCGGATGTATAGTCGTCGTTTACTGCATTTCGCTTTGCGAGGGGTCGGTGTAAATGAATACTACTACTACTACTGTATCATGCCGCGTAAGCCAAAGTTCGAGTCCAATTAGCGGGAGACAAGGCAATTATAGAAGACAACTCCGTACTCAAAACTAACCAATTACTGGTATCAGAAGGCTGACTAGAGTACATTAGGTCGATAATTAGTTGGCTTTCAAGTTGATGACTATTTGTATTGTCCTTAATCGTAACAGTGGAACCGAAAGGGTTATCGCGGGACTTGGATGCAAGCTATCCCCCGGGCTAAACACAGTTAAGATCGAGAAACTTTGGAGCTTCTTCGTCCTTGACTTATACGTGCTAAAAGCTTGCTACTGTGATTCCATGTCTACAGAGGGCTCCTACTACTTCGTCAGCCCCGCTGAGGCCCCCTACACACGGGCCCTGAACGAGTGTCGCGGAGAATAAAACTTATAGCACGTGAGGGGTCTCGCATATATTTAGATTAGAAGCGTGTTTTGCAAAATAAATACCATTATTGGGAAATCTGAAGTTGAGTCTCCATACAAGATTCAGCGCAGGATACGACCGACTCGCCCCCTCATCCTTCGATCCAATAGCCACATCGCGAAGCGCTATTGCTATAATTGAGAAACCGCATATCTGCGCATCACCTGCGTCTGGTTGTCACCGTCTGTTCAATAGAGCACTGTTTACCAGTCGTTGCGAGGCACAGAACCGAAGACAAACGTGCCAGACACAACAACATGAAGACAATAGCTACCACTTCATCTCCAGTCCGCGTGACGCTCGTGCTCCACGAGCAAACCCTTGTTTTCCCACCCGTCCATCTTGTCCTCTCCGCCAATCGATATTAAAGTCAATAGGCAAGGCATACTCGGTGACAGCCTGTCAAACATGACCGCTTGAAACTCCTCCAGTGAGCAATATATTTCACAACTACAAGCCGTATCCTATTATACTCATTTAGGCATGGCACGTGGAATAGTGCCGTTTTGGATATATCTCCTGATTGTAGGGTAAGATTCTACAACATGACAGTTGGTAGACGGAAAAAATCGTCCCTGATTACATATGTATAGATGCCAAACTAATTTGACAACTTCATTACATCCTGATCCTCATTCTTGCCTGGTATTCGAAGATGATTAGAATTATCAAGCCGGCCAAAGCCTGAGTTCTATATCGACCCTTTCAATCTGTTACAATTTATTTGGTTCACGTATATGTCTATACCATAAGATCAATTGTCTGCCGTCACCTCGTATAGACTAAGCTTCGAGCGAAAGATGGTGGCCTATTACGCTACTTCCCAAGCAATACGGGACTTGAGAATGATTCAAAAAAAAAACGAAGTTACCGCGAGAATAAATGGAGAGAAGTACTTTGATTCGAATACGCTCTTGACAGGTAAGGCTTAGTTGGAAATTAGACCTGAGACTTCCAGCGCTACCTGCAACGAGACTAAGCAAGCCCCCTCTCATACCTTGTCTTCGTTACCTTCTGCATACCACTCCACAATACACAGCCTGCAACTTTCGTCTGTCTCTTCTTTTTGAAAGTTAGCTACTCTCAACATCGAACCATCCAATAGATGTCACAGTCACCCTCTGGTACCGAGGCCCTTAGAGCGATCATGCTAGTGATCAATCTGTGAAGTCCTGTCGCTCGATATACGCGCGCAATGCATAAGGGAATTTGAAATACATTTGTCCCTTCCAAGTACCATACTGAGGAATGACTTCATGACAGTTATTCCAAGAATCAAGAAACAAGCCACGGTAGTCCTTATTGTCCTGGCGCGACTTCAGAATTTCGACAATCGATTGATTCGGGCAAGGCCTATTTATCCAAGGGTGTCCCTTGATGCCCTGATTGCACTGCACCTTCCACTTGGCTGTGTTGCCGTTGGCACTTGTGGTTGTGAATACCTGACCATTGTACCTGTCACAAAAGCTCCCATAGGGCTGTGGTTGGAGAACAGAGAAAGCCTTTGTTAGTGGATCATTGGCACTGGGATCCTCCGGAATCTTCGAGCTCATAGTACATTTTTCAAGGGCCTTCTGAATTTCCGATTCTTTCGTCTTGTGAGTAGCGTTCAATGCGGATAGTCGAGCTTCAGAGTTTGCCAGGTCCAAGCGGGCTTGGTTGAGACTGCTCTGGAGCGCTTGTTTCTCGGCTGTGCACCTAGCTTCGGTATTTGCAAGCTGATTGGCTATGTCCGCTTTGCAAGTAGCCTCTGTTTCCTTCATGGACTCCTCATGCGAGTTAATCAAAGCGGTTTTCTCCCTGCTGCATTGCTCGGTTTGGGCCTGGGAGGCCTGGCTCATTGCAGCAGCCTTCTGCTCCTCGCATGAACTAGCCAGGCTAGCCTTTTCATTGTTGCATTGCTCGGTTTGGGCCTGGGAGGCCTGGCTCATTGCAGCAGCCTTCTGCTCCTCACACTCAGTATGAGCTCTCTCCAAAGAAGCCTCCTTCTCGCTCTGGCATTGTGCCTGGGCTTGTTCCGCACAACTGCTCTTCAAATCTTTCTGCAGTGCTGTCTTCTCTGTCTCGCACTTGGAAGCGGCATCTTTTTCGCACTGTGTTTTGATTTCATCAACCATATTCGTGCAGTCCTGTGCAGACTCAGGCTCAGGCTCCGAAACCAGCTCCCTGGTTTTCTCAAGCAAAAGCATGGACCGCTGCTCCTTAGTCGAGTAGTCATCAGAGGTGACGAAGTAGCACTTCCCCCCTGCCCATGACGCAGCAGGACAGTTAGCGCCAGCATTAGCACAGAGACGCGCACAATCTTTTGCACTACCAGCAAGCCGTTCCGGTTTCTTGTTCTCGCGGGGAAGTGCCCATCTCTCACAAGTGTAGGAAAACTGGACTCCGTCCACGAATCCCCTGCCAGATTTCGTTTGACCACAGCATTTTGTATAGATCTCGCGGGATGAGCCTTCGGAAAATGAAAGGCATGTTCCCCCTGCTCCAGCTGAAGGCGCCAGAGTAGAGGCCCATGCTGAGCTAGCGGAGAGGAGGCTAAGCCAAATTGAGGACGAACCTATAATCATGATTTTGAGGGATCAAGATCTCTGTAGGCCAAAAGAACAGAAAAGAAAACCTGATGAGTATGTAGCTAGTAAAGAGACAAGAGCATGCCTTTATAGCAGAGAATACAGAGTAGATGCGGTCTTGGGGACTGATCCCACGCTGAGCAAGATCGGTCAAACTCGGTGTGGATCTATGAGGTGGCGCCCCGACATTTGAGTAGTCCCGCTTAGCGGCAGAGACGTAGCCAAAATTACTTACGTATCCTGAACCTTATGGCAGTCCTCATTCGATCTGATGACAATCGTCATGCAGATTCCCTAAATAGGATTGGGGGATTTGAGATGTTTCTTGGAAGGTCGTACGACCTCGCTTTGAAGGTAGCAGATCTAGGTTTTCAGCTGAGTTGTGGAGTCAAGCCCGGATTTCAAATCTGTGGGGGCCCTATGCAACTACTCCTAAACCTCGACCCGCCGACGTGCATGTGCGGGATAGCCAGCATGTACATGAGACATGTCTATTTCTTTCTACCGACTCACTTCTATTAAAAAGAATCACGCATAGGAATGAATTGAGTCTAGAAGGAGAAAATGCAAAACCGATGATGGGGTTCTCTGGGTCGGAGCGGCCCGCTGAGGCTCATGGTTCGTAGCTATGAAGCAAGGGTGGAGCCCGAAATCGAATGTGGTTCGTGGCTACGTGGCAAAAGTGGAGCTCTTATGCCGGAATTTTGATTCTAGCGATCGAGTCGATCGATCTCTGCATCATTGGCGATGCCGATACCAATTTCGATCTTCAATTATTCGCAAAGTCTACCCAGCAAATAAAATCCTGATATCATTGGAAGCAAGCAGCGACATCCAACCCAACCCGCACATCCCACTCAGTAGGCCCCTTGGTCTAGTTCTCTTTTTGTTGAAACTTTTCGCGTGACGGGGATCACCTTTCGGGTACGTTCGGTCTTGATCATATCTATGACTATTCATGTGCTTCATAAGTGTGTTTATTCAAGTCGGAACTTTTTGCCCGCCGTATTCAGCATGGTCTTGAGCGACATTGGGGGAAGGTATACCAGTATAATGTTTTCGGCACAACCTTGAAAGCGTGAAGGCTGAATATGTAGACTGTCTACGTAAAGGTTATAATTTAGAAGTTTATGGATATATAGATATGTGGTCTATAGGAATTTGATTTAGTCGCCAGGCTCTACCTAATAGCGCACTTCCTCCTGCCAGCGCTAGCGTTAGCTAGCACTTGAGTAGTAGATATTCCTTGCGTGAAATATAAGAGAAGACTAAATTAATCGCCGAGTTCCCATGCATCGCCTCTGCTGGTTTTGAAGGTGACAACCAAACAAGTTCCATGAGTAGAATGCAAACATCGAAATAGTTAATGTGGATCCGTTCGTCTTTCACCAAAGTCGGTTTTCATTCAGCCGCACCCACAGTGGAACACCTCCACACTAGTAAATTCAAGTTTCCTAGTCTCATGCGAAGTGATGGCACATGTGATCGATCATCATCCAAATGGAGATGCATTGATGTCAATTTCCCCGCTAACACATCCTAGCGATGATACAAGACTCCTCTTTTGTCATGTAAAAATTGAAACTTTTCATTGTATATTGTTCAAGATATAGGACAGTAAATTGAATGAGTTTTTGCTCGAATTTATATAGATCTTGGTCGGAGCGGTTCGGGGGATTAAATCGATCGGGTCGTCACGAATGGCTCCACTCGTTCGATCCCTCAGACTTGAAAATCTTCATGCTGAGGATTGTTTTCATTATTTCAAATATTTTTGTTGATCGGCCCACCAAGAGAAAAAATTATGTATCCTGAAAAGTCGACAGCTCCACCCACTTCTCGTGATTCACCGAACTTCATGATCCACTTCTTGAGCTGAAGATTTTTGGAGACTGGCGATCGGCTGATTACGGTGCTTGCTCCACTCCCTTGGCCTGAGAGAAATGCATCATGAAGCATGCCGATGGAAAAGTCTATAAGTATCTATCTCGGGCTACTCTCCAACATGTTTCAGTATCATTATCTTTTCTTTCTGTTTCCCAATAGCCAAGATGGTGAAATTGGATTCTCTTTTGACCCTCCTGGTGTCCCTCTCCGCCTCTCAGGTAGTAGCTCGTGCCACCTCTTCTGGTCAAACTAAGTATACTCTCGACAATATCCGTCCCCTGACCGACTCTTCCTCTGGACTCGTGAAGTGCTGCCCAGAGGGAACCGAGTTTGACGGCAAGAATTGCGTCTTGGGTGTTCCTCTATGCCCGGAGGGATTTATCCGCAACTCGGACAAGTGCGTATCCAACATGAAGCCTATCTGTCCCGATAGGAGTGAATTCAACGGCAAGACCTGTGTCGCGAACGCACCTCCTTCCTGCCCCCCTGGCACCGACCTCAAAGGCCGAACATGCGTGACAGAGCCTGCATCTTGTCCCGCTGGTATGGAGCCCAGTGGCAATGTTTGTCAATCCAAGCAGACTCCTGTCTGCACCGATGGTCATACCTTTAATGGAAAGACCTGTGTCAGTGTCATGATCCCACAGTGTCCTGATGGGCTGGAATTTGGCAATGGAAGCTGTATTAGCAGCGGATCCCCCGTCTGCCCCTCAGGCTCTGCATTCAACATCGCTCTGAAAGCCTGTGCATCAACATCTAGCCCCACGTGTAATGAGGGAAGCAGCCTGAAAGAAGGTCAATGCATTTCTGACACTAAGCCTACCTGTCCCGAAGGGAGCAATTTCAATTCGCGTACCATGCAATGTACTGCATCCGAAAGGCCCTCCTGTATGCCCGGTTTCCAGTTTGATCTGGTCAGCAAGAAGTGTATCCTCGAGGACCAACCTAGCTGCCCCCCTGGAAGCGATCTGTCTATTGATATCACGTCTAAGACGGCCCGTTGCTGCCCTGCTAATATGATGTGGGACGGGAACATGTGCGCTTTCGAGGTTGACGAATCTGACATTTGCCCCCCTGGCGCAATTCAGGTAGGCACATCTTGCCAGAAGCAGGCTGTGAAGGTTCCCGAATGCCCGCCAGGCTCCAAGTTCAGTGGTAGCCGCTGTGTATCAACGGAACTTCCAGAGTGTCCCCCTGGCTTTCTCCTCAACGGCTTATCCTGTATTTCCCTTGAGCAGCCTGAATGTCCTCCTGGTCTAGTCCTCTCGGGCGAGAACTGTATCGATACCACCGAGGTCACCTGTCCGACCGGCACGCGATTTGAGAAGGACACTTGCGTTAGCATTGAGCAGCCTGCTTGTGAAGACTACTATATCTTCAATGGGAAGAATTGTGTTTCAACTATCTCTTCACCCGAGTGTGCTGATGGCACCGTCTTCGACGGCGAGGAATGTATCACCCCTTATACGCCAACCTGCCCTGAAGACACGACTTTCGACGGCACCCGCTGTATTTCGACGAGCGTTCCCGTCTGTCCCTCTAATGGTATCCTCAACGGGCAAGGAGACTGCATCGTTACTTCCACTCCTACATGTCAGCCCGGATCTTCTTTTGTCGATGCCAGCTGTATCATTGGTGCTCCAACCTGTCCAAAAGGCACTGTCTTTGACGGTAAGCAGTGTATTAGCCCTAAGGACCCTAAGTGCCCCGTTGACCATAAATGGACCAACGGTCGCTGCATCAAACTGGTCGGCATTGAGTGCGCTCCTGGTTATGCCCCCTTCAACGGCGATTGCGTCTCCGAAAGCAAGCCTGAGTGTCCCCCGGGGACTGACTTCGACGGCAAAGACTGTATTGGATCTGAGCCCCTTTGCGATGAAGATCTAGTCTTCGACGGTGAGGAGTGCGCACACCCTTCTGAGCCCACATGCCCACCCGCTATGAAGTTCAACGGCAAGAAGTGTGTCGCTGAAAAGTTGCCCGAATGCCAACCCGGCACCACCTTCAACAAAAACACTAAGGAGTGTGTCGCTACCTCGGCCCCCGAGTGTCCCCCCGGTCAGGTCTTCAATGGTAAGCAGTGTGCTTTGGCAGCAGGTGACTGCATGAACTTTGAGTACTGCCCTTCAACTGGTATGCCTGTGTGTGGTGATGGTGCGACCTTCGATGCCAAGACTGGCATGTGCGCGGACTTTTAAATAGGGCAACCGTCTGTCAGTAGCCCGTCCGCAAATATTACAGTGCACGAGTCCTGCCAACTATTGAAAGAAACAATTAACTGAGCGCATTCTGGAAGGAATAGATTATAGGTGTGAAGTATTAGGAGCCTGTCAGAGGAAATAAAGTGCAGTACCATGTAAAGGATAAGCGCAATTGGCCACTAAGTAATTAATCTAGGTACTTGATTCCAAATTAAGGATGAATTAATCGAGCACAACAAGAGAAGCTTAAAACACACTCACGCTTCATTCGAAATGGATCGTGATTGAGATATGGACTGGCATGTGAGCTATGTTGCAAGAGCTAACAGCTATATTATTTTCCTCTTCAACATGTTGGGATTAAGACTTGAGGACGAGCCTCGACGTACGTCTAAAGAGCCCTACGAGCAACACTCACTGTGACCAGTTAGCACCGCGTAGCAATTAGCTTTTCATGCAGCCTAGTGTTATGTATAAATTCAATACTAACTAGTCATAGTGAGTATCGTTCGTTTGGGCTACACATACCTAAGTCGTTGATTTATAACTGTACTGTTGCCAGTTAACGTTAGGTCTTAAACAGGCTCTGGTCTTTATATAGACATAATAGGAGGCGCTAGGTAGGCTCGCTCAGTCAAGTGTTACGGGCCCACTTTGAACGCACCTCAGGAAAGAAGATGAGGGCCAACTAAGTTCCCAGGAACTAGTTACTCGAATGGGATTACGTGACTAGTCACGGTGCTCACTGAGCAGACAATGCGTGATCAGTCGGCAAAACGGGTCAGGACCGGAAATACGCTACCTACGTCACTAGACGGAATGAATTCTAACCCTCACCGCCCGCGCCACTTTTAGCCAACTACTCGCCGTCATATCATAACGTTACGGACCCACTTGGGGCGCACCTCCCAGGAGCACCGGAGGCCAATCAGTTGTGAACATTTTTGATAGGGTCGCTCGGGCGACCGAGGATCATGTTAAGTGCTCGTTCATCAGCTTAGAATGTTTCTATTCTTATTCTCCTTTTCCTTCCATCACGGAATATCAGAAATAACCCCCACCTCGCAAAATGAATTGCTCAATAAGGTACACAGGTATCATCTCCGCAGAAGTATCCATCGCAGCATCCATCTGAACACGCACCGTTGTAGCCTGAAGTATAATACATAGTCATTAGTATACAAGAAGCATAGAATTAGAAGGGTGTGTTTCTAACCAGCGCAGGCAGACGCGGTCGCGGTCATCATAGCAATGAGAATCAATATGAAGTGACCAGAGAAATCCATTCTGGATTTTGGAATGTGTGTATTTCCAGGATCTAGGTTTTGGTCTAGACGGTATAATTTGGTATGATGTGTTAGAAGAATTGATTGACTGACCAAAGGCTTACTCCTCCCCGGCTCCTGCCAGCTGTACTCCTATTTATATTTGGAATCCCAGACCGCTTTCTCCCGCTTGACACGGATAGTATCTGTACAGGCCGTTTGGTTTCACCATAGTTGCATTCGACGATCTCCCCTTGCGTGACGTCGCATGGCTACTTATAGGGTTCGAAGTCAGCCATTGGTCTAAACATTGCCGATCCCACAGTAACTTATAAGTTCCAAAGAGTCTCAAATTCCTAGGGGCATTGAATGCCTTTTCAGGATTCTTGTAACATGCACTTGTGAGGCTGTGCTATTACATGCCAGGTAGTAAAACAAGGGTCTAAGGTTTACTCACCTGCCTACTGCTATCCTATTAAGGCTATTCTGACGACAATTACCGAATAGGACTCCATGACAATTGCTTGAAAGTGAGGAAGATTGTTTCTAGTCCACAAATTTCTCTTCTCTTCTTGAACAACCAGATGAGCCCCAATACCCGGTTCTGCACTTTGTGTAATATATAATAATCTACGAAGCTAATCTCAGGTTTAAAATTGAACTAACATGGACGAAGTCAGGTGGAAGTATGCTTGCCGGCGCACTGTAGGCAGCTATATATGAGCTATTAAGATCACTGACTCCTCATTTGGTCGAGTAAGTTGAGGGTATTTTGAATGACTGACGACTGAAATCGGGTCACCAATCAATTGCACAAAGACAGATAGCTGGGGCTATAAAAGTGGCAAAATTGAGACGCAGAGGATGGAGAAGGGGGTGGGAAATTTCCTGTGGGTAACCTAATCGGAATGGATGAGAGTTCTTTTTCCGCTTTTCTTCTCCAGCCTGAGCCTATTTGGTAATGGGGTCGGGATTCTCTTTCCTATAGATGGATCCTTGCTTTGTCACACTTTTAGACCTGAAATAATGCTGGACAACCAATCAGGGCTGGCTACGCGGTATGACCTATCTGCAGTAAGAATGAGCCCTTCATTCCTGAATAGTCAATGTCACCACTGGCTATGAGCAAAAGCACAATATTCAAAGAAGCCTCACCTTGAAACCATCGTTTGAAGTTCCATCTGTCGCCAAATCCTTGCAGCTAAATGGCGATCTTACCTCAATTCAATGGTATTAAAGAGGTTGCCTGCTTCCCTGAAAGCTGGAAACCAATCCTCCTAACTATATCTACTGAAAGAGTCGTATCTCTATCGTCTCGATTTGTCTACTCTTTCATTCCCACTCTAGCATCATGCAGATCAAGAACGTCATCTTCACTACATCCTTTGCCACAGTCACTGCTCACCCCGACGCCAAGTCTGACCCATTTAGTGTTATCGCTATTCACTCTGGCTCTAGTGTTCAGAACTCTGCTTTCGATGCCGCACATGGCGGCATTTTTGCTGGTCTGCCTTCCCAGAATGCCAGCTGTGACAACACCGAGGAACAATATGCCACCTTCTACCTAAGCGAAGAAGCCCTGTATCTCTATTCCGAGTCCGATTCTAAACAGGAGATCTACGTTGATGCCTCTGAAATAGTTTAAGTTCAAAATCTCATATTCTGTTGAGTCCCACTAACCGTTGATCGACAAGTAGGGCAGGGTAAGATCGGATACACTACTGGCACAGAGGCTTTGCCTAGGAACGGCGAGCGCGCAGGCTGGGCAAATAACGATGGTCATCTCCAATTCGCAGGGAATGACCTCATTGCTTGCCCCAATAGCATTGATGGTGCTTGGTCTATTTGGGCTTCGGCTGGCGTTGACAACCCCGCCGGCAACACTGAGTGTGTTGGAATTGTATCTCGCATTGAGTCAAGCTCCTCCAAGGGTTGCACCTACACTTCTTAGAAATTGCTGGGCTGTATTTGTTCGTCCCGAGAAGGACTGCGAAAAAAAGTTATTTGAAAATCCATCAGTCCACATCAGCGCGAAAAGACGAACCATCACTATTACAAGGCTAGCTATCCACTTGCATCCCAAAAAGTTCGAAATCTATCACGTACCATTGTGCACGCCGCAGTCGGCCCTTGACAAGAGGATTTTCTATCCCAACTCGAAGCCTCGGCCAGAGTGGAAACACCATAGAGGCCTAGACTTTGTTGGGAATCCTTGTTGGATATTCACCAGCCCAGACGACCCAGACCTTCGTCTTGGCGAGATGCAACTCAAGCTCTACCGAAAGCTTTCCTTCCCACCGGTATTCGAAAATAGCCAAATTGTGTAAAAGCACGCAAGGGACCCTCCACTTGAATGTATCACGACCCCAGCAGTTTTGGAGGACCCCAAGCTATATTGAGTCGGGGATTATCGGTAGTCCGCTGCTTTGAAATGAAGCCAAATGTCTCACCGAAAGTCGATGTCTCGCGCACAAAAGATGAAGCTGTAAGGACAGGCAGCAGGGGCCAGATCTTTAGTTTGTCTAATTTGAATTGAAAATTGAATCAAAATTAAGCTCTTCTGATTATTGTGAGACTTCTCTTGAACATACAGTCACAATTCTACAGACGACTGGGTGTACGATGTAAGTGGATCATAAAGTCAAAATTGTGCAAAGCATAATCAAAGATTCTTCTAGGCTCAAGTCAGAAAAAAAAGAAGATGCTCCGAATCAGCTTCAAAACTCTCGTCCTCATTTTAGGCCTTGCTATCCTTGCTTTCGGTATGATTCCTGGCTTGAAGTCCTATCTCAGAGCAGCTGGAATATCCCAAAGTCGTCATTGAATTTTCTAGAAGGCTATTGAGTTTTGTGGTAGAGATGCTGGACGCTTCTAATGGGTAGAAGATTCTTTTTATTGATTTCTACAAGAAGAAGAAAACATCTCAAAGTCTTGCAAGAAATATTTTCACCCACAAAATTCTGGTAGAATCTAGCTCTTCCGCGAAGAGTTATATTGGATTTTAAAGTGAAAAAGAAGGTCTACTCTTTCTCACAGTGCTCTAGCTATCCAAGTGAGAAGTGAAAAAAGATTTCTCTGTATTATGCGCACATTTCGAGCAGGGGATTCTGCGTACTGACTAGTACTACGGCTGTGCAATTGAGAGTGTTGATTGTATATTGTGAAGATGTGTTTAGAGATCCCCAGGGATCTGCTACAGCGTGTTACCACGCTTTACGCCCGAATATAACCGAATTACGATAGGAAACTAGCGTGGAAAGAGTAGAAGCTAAACCGGTCCGTAGTGGTAAGAAAACCCTTTCTCGGGTGGTCAAAACGAAAAATTTTTAACTTATAATGGCTGATGATTTATTTGGTCTTTTTACTAGCGTTTCCGATGTCACACTAACCTGCTCGTCATGAAACCCCTATCACGATGCCTTCACTTCTTGATTGGACACCTCGAAGGAACCAATTGGCAGATCTTCCCAACGATTTCTTCGGTGCGATAAGGCTTGTGAATGATATCATCCATCCCAGCATCAAGCATTTCGGCCTGTTGCGCCATTCTGACATTCGCTGTCACTCCCAATATGGGTATGTGTGCATTACTGCCATTCTCAAGTTCTCGAATCCGCTTGGTTGCTGAATTTCCATCCATCACAGGCATTTCCTGGTCCATAAGAATACAATCGAGCGTGTTGTTCTGGACGACATCCAAAGCCTCCTGGCCATTACTAGCCTCCATGACTTGAAATTCCAATGATTTCAATTTCTGTAATAGTATTTTTCTGTTGATAAAATTATCCTCTACCACGAGTATGCGGCGATTGGCGCTTTCCTCAATGTGACTTCGACAGATTTCGTTGTTGTCGGTTGTTGCCTGCCTTGCGATCTCATATGTATGCCTCGTTCTGTTATCGTGGGGGGCACCCGGTCTTAACTCTTTGATATGAGTTAGTGGCGGGTCCTCTGGTATTCGACTATCCGGTGTCGGTCCTTCGACCTTGGCCAATTCCCTCCCTAACGCTTGGACGTCGTGACACAACTTGTCAAGTTCGGAGAGGTTATTGCCGCAATCCCCTTCACCGCCTGCATTGGTACTCCTGCGCACTCGGAAGAAAAATCCAAAAGTGCTTCCTTCCCCTTCTTTGGAACTTACGCCAATCTCTCCGCCATGTAGATGACATAGTTTCCTACTGACATTTAGACCCAGACCTGAGCCTCCGTAGATTCTTTCCGTCCTTGGAGTCGCTTGATTAAATCTTTCAAATAGCCGCATCTGAGCATGATCACTAATACCGATGCCAGTATCCTTGACAGCGAGCATGACATGAGCAAATTGTCCATCACCCCACTCTGGCGAGGTTGTTCTATCAAGACCAAGCGCTATCTCGTCCGAATTGAAGAAAACAATGTTTGGCGGGTATGAAGAGGGCCGTTGCCTTGAAGCACCAATTGAGACCCGAATCTTTCGCTCATTCTTGGATCTGGCCGTGAATTTAATTGCATTTGAAAGAAGATTGATAAGAACTTGGCCCATTCGGTCAAGATCGGCCATAACCCATTCAATTTCACATTCTGCGTAAGAAAAGTCGACCTGATAATCGAATTGAATATTTTTCCTCTGTAGCTCCGGCCGAAAGAGAGAAAGTGGGGTTGAAAAAAACAACTTAGGTTGCACCCTTCGCGGTGATAATAGTAGCATTGATGCGTCGATTTTTGAGAAAGTAAGTACATCGTCAAGTATTCTCTTCTGGTGCGCAATGCAGAGACTGATAGTTTCCGCTGACTCGGCAATGCGTGCAAGCGGTACTTCATGCTTTTCTTTGTTATGCAACGCCTCGATGATGTCCTCAGTGCAATGTAATATTGCAGAAAGGGGGTTCCGTATCTCATGGCTGATCATATCGATGAATCGCTCTTGCTGCTTTTTGTGCTCTTGCGCATCTTTGACAAGCTTTCTCTGAGAAAATTCGGACCTCTTTTCTGGTGTTATATCCGCGACCGTCACGATAAATCCACCATTGGCGTCCAGACCAAAAAGGGGGCGATTTTCACCGACGAGCGGATTCAAAGTCATTACACACCATGTGTCATGAATCTGTGTATGAAAATCAATACGAAATGCTTCCTTAGATGATAAAGCCTCATTATAACAAGTAACGATCCGATCAGCGTCGCCGGGGTGGACCGACTGCAACCAGCAATGAAAAAAATTTGCGTCTGAACATATAATCAGCTCCCGAAAGCGAGAGTTGACAGACACTAGCTCATATTGATGATTGAGGATGGCCAGACCATGTGGAACGATATCAGCTAGCTGTTGTGCAGCAGTTGAGTCGAAATTGAGGCCCATTTTGTTCCGTGCAAAGAAGCTTTAATTTCTCATTCAAGTCGGGGTGAGGGGGCGGAATTATTCAATGTCATATGGGACAGTGATATACAGATCACAAACACGGTTCAGCTAAGCATACGTGGTGGATGCAACCCGGGTGGAGAATGATGGTGCACTTCAAGGGGGTACGACGTTGGGTGTGCAGAGGTTGCCGAATTTCAAGATGTATTAGCTAATGAGGCGTAATTTATAGCGTCATTGCGGGGTACGGCAAATTCAAATGACGAATCATGATGTCCAACTCTCAATATGGCCAGCCGAGGTTAATCATCAGCTTTTGCTAGATCCACAAGCCAAGTATATATTCACGCATTGCATTGCATTCACCGTTGAATTAATTGTTACTCGGCTCTGATGAATTCACCTTATTGAGTCTGTTGCCGGGAATCGTTGCAATTTTAGGCTTTTGCAGATCAGGTACAAAGTCGAACCATCGGAAATAATTTCCAAGGTGCCTATACCACGCATAATCCTACCATACCATCTCACACCATCCCCGGCACCTGTTTCCCTACCTCACTCTGCGTTGCGGACTAAAAACGCCCCGCAATCTAGGTAATGAGCCCGAAGACCGGTACCGGGGTATGTTTCTCGCCACTATTTGCGAACTATTCGCCCAGCTTCGCGAAACGACAGGCATTCATTGTGGTAACGGGTATGAATTCGATGATCGCGTAGGTCTGCTCATACATCGACTAAATGCCATCACAGCCAGATAAGTTGGCGATACGGCCCACGTTGCAATCCTGCTGACCCAGATCGGGCCGAGATATCAAGATAATTCCATATTTGCCATGAAATACTGTTGGGACTTCCGACATTTCTGTTATTCGGTTAACCCACCGACCTTATCACAAAATCTTTCTTTACAGCAGGAACCTCTTGAGCCTTAGTCTCCGACAAACGACCCATTGTCGAAAGACAGAATACACCGAGTAAGGCAAGGACGCAATGTTTAGAACCTCACAATGTTCAATGTCGATGGGTTCGCCCATGCTGTGCACCAAGATTGAGTTATACTGGAATAATATATCAGTGTGCATTTGAGACATAACGAGAGCAGCAATAGGTACAGTAATATTCAGTTGAATTTCTTGTAAAACCTCATGAAGTGCTACGGAAGTAGAACTCTAACGGTAAGAGATAGCGTAACCCGCGATGTTATAAAATTGCTAATAGTGGGTACACAGTCAGATGTCTCGCTTTCTTCGAGCGGCTCCTCGTGTAGAGGGTCCAATTCAGCCCACGCGTTGGCATATTTCATCTCCCTGAGCCTTTCCTTCTCGATGGAGGGGGGAAGATCTGCCGTCTTTTCACTTTCGCCCAGTAGACCTGAAGCTCTCAGAAGTCGTTCAGGCTCCACGGTCAACCTACCCTTTATAAACACGTACTTCCAAATCGAAGTTGCAAGTGAACAGGGTGTCCGAATTTGTCCCTGCTATACCCGCTCCCAGCCCCAGTACACCTTCCAGAAGTCTTTCCGGTAGAAAGTCTGTTTGACGCTTCCTTTTTGGACAAAATGTGTCACAATATAGAGCCAACTTTTGGTCTCATGTATGAATCTGAGTCATACTTCGTACTGCTGGAAGATTCGAATTTTCTTCTTGAAGCTTGAGGTAACAGATCCGATTATGGCAGCTATTATCCCCCGTCTGCAATCAGCAACGAGCTCTTGATCGACAACTGAAACTCCACGATAGCAAAGGTATGACAGAAGATGAGAGCGGCTTGCATCAACATCCGTAAAATATGTACTATTCGACTTGTGGAGGTTGTAATCTGCCTCAAGGAGTGGGGTGTATGTTGTCGTTACACATGGAAGAAATACCAACGGCAAGTCTTTGTCTTTGTGACGAATCGATAAGTGATGGCTTCTTTTCTTTGTCAACGAGCTCTGAATGATGGGGCGAAAGATGCGATACCTCAGGAATTTCAGTTCAGAACTTGCAGGGCCTTGGAGAGAGAAGACTGGAATTATGGGCCTGTCATTCGCCTTTCAATGAACACTTACGTGGAACACTAGTGGCAAATTTGTGAAATTGACCACAAGGAATATTGGCAGGAGAAACTTCCAAAGACTGATGGACTGCATTGAACTCCAAAGCCAATTGATTAGTTCTAACGCCTCGGGTGAAATTGAAATATTAGAACAGAAATTGGCTTTAGAGGCGAATGCAATGCAGTGACTGTAAAGCTCTATTTGCATTTTCTATCGGAACTCGATTGAAAAGAAAAAGAAAGAAAAGCAACAAGCCTTGTGACGGCGATGTGTGCAAAAAGTTTTGATGCCACTAAAATGAATAAAAATAAAGATTCTGTGGGCTAATACTGGTTCATGCTGTAAGGTCGAGAAGCCGAGGCAAACTCGGCAGTGATATCGTCATTATTTAATTCCGAAACCTAGGATTAATGTTCCGAGGACGTCTCGGTCGGGATTGGCCGCATATAACTCCGATGGAGAACTTGTCTCCGACAGAGCAAAGCTCACGAGCATGCTTATCCGGCAGAAAACGAATGAGGGATGCCGGACCATGAGCGTGGCGTGCTCTCCACACCGATTGTGTTGTTGCATGTGTATATTAGTTGTATTGTTGTGGAGTTCTGTGGGTCACGACCCAATACTATAGATACAGGTCTAACCCTAATGCATGATTAGTGCGTATCAGGGTGACAGGACAATACCATAAATACAGGTGCTCCAACAGGTTGGCATAATCTTAACCTGTAATGAGACTAGTGGTCTGGGCAAGAGATGGATCGCGACACAGCAAAGGCGGTGATAGTGTAAAAGACGCGTGCTGTACGTCCAAAGGTGTGCACTTCCAACCCCACTTGACGAGCGGCTCTTCAGGATACATTAGTGTGATTCGGGGATATAAGGCTACACTCACGATTCTTCACCTTCGCTCCTGTTGACCGCCTCCGCGCGTACCTCACGGCGGCCAGTAGACTGCTGAGATAGCACACGGATATCGCAATTGGCTTGAATCGATTAGCGAACCTCCGATTTCGACCAAACGGATGCTCGTCATTGCAGCAGTATGCAAGGCCATTCTAGATTTTTCCACCGTGCATGACACAATATGGTGGCCGACGATCGGAGGGAACGGTCCTTAAACCAATGGCACTTGGCGGACACACCTGATTGGCCACAAATGACCCTCGTCCGTGATAGCTGCAGAGATGGCATGAATTTTCAGTTGAGAAACCGCGGCGCAATGCACCTGTAGTCTTGTTGTTGGGACGCTGCCAGAGTTCTCGACTCAGGTGAGACATCGGCGACGTTTGCGTAGATTTGAAAGTAGAGGTATCCAGCAAATGGCTTCGTAACTCTTATCGGGGACATTCATGATAATCGAACGCTCCGGGTCTCGCTCTGAGGTACGTTCTGCCAGATATTAGCTACTAGACCCGAGAAGGTATAATTGGCTCACGAGTGATGGTGGCCAATAAATTATCTCGGCTAGCAATCGAGGCTGGCCTGGTAAGCGATTGTGAATTGCTCGTTGCGCTCATATGCAGCGGTTCAATGTATATAGATCGGGTCGGTCGCATCGTCTGTCATCTCAACACACCATTGAACCAGCTCAGGCTAAGAATAGACATACCTCCCGCAGGAAGAGCCGCTTGCATTCTAACGATCAAGGAAGCTAATGGGGTTCGACATTGGAGCTCAGGTGGACGAATTTCATAGAAGTTTTTGTGGATAGAGAAGGGATCTTGGAGCTATACGCCAGACATGGGTTTTACTTTTTCTTGGCTTGGTGGCATGGGTTGGAATAGAGAAGCAACGCATTAATCGCTTAATAGGGGCTGGCTGACTTGGGTGATTATAGTATGTACTTTTGGCGTCAGTACCGACAAGAGCTCGGAGGAATCAAGGGTGGAAGAACTTATCGTGGGTCTGTTGGCAGGATAGCATCGGTTGGCTCCATGAATTGAAAATTTTTCTCCAGTCTGACAAAGTCAGGCAGTGAAATTGTATGAGAGGACTGGGTAGCAGAGGGTATTTATAGACTTTTCGGCTTGTCTGGTCGCTCACACGCATCATTTCATCTGCTTGATGATCGTAAGGCTCCCAACGACCTTACTAAACCCAAGCCCCTATTTATTCTGTATCTTCAACACTATTCAACAAATCACACTCGCAAGTACTCAATTGGCCATACCCGTACTAGTTTGTACTTTAAAGACCACGTTCCAACACTTTTCTCCTGATCATCATGGCGTTAAAATGACGGTAAATTACGGTCACGTTGTCATTTGAAAGCGCGTCCCTAGTACCTACTCAGATATTTATGTAGTTATTATTGACAGCATATGGAAGTTGAATTCTAAACCACAACCCACTAGGCTGGGTACAGATTCGTATTTTAGTCTAGTTGGGAAATCAGTTTTGGCGAGGGGTGGGTCATAGCCCTGCAAGAGACAGAAGTCAGCCAATACTGCCACAAAAACCTCAATCAATATCCAGGGTAGATTCGAGATAAACATGACACTTCCCATATGAACAGATTTTCCTGATGATTTCGAGAGATTTAAAATTCGTAGGCTGCATTTTATTTTTATGGCGCAAGCTTACGCCATGGTAACTTGATAGTGCGCGAGCGTTCTCATCTGAGGTGCGACTGGCGATGACAGCAACCCGGCAACCAGCAGGGCTGGTGGCAACAATATCAAACATCCAGCGGTACAGACCTACTACTCCTTGGAGATTTCGTGCCAGGATCTTGGACTTGCATTTACTGGTCGTTTTCATATTGAAGGCCGAGGCGAACCATTGTATGCATCAAGGACGTCCCGGTTATCGGCAAGTCTCAACACTACCTCTTGGCTCCGACTTGCGATAATTATTGAACAATTCGGATTTCAGAAAAGGTATTCTACACCATAGTTATCAGCTGATCTCGGAATTGAGATCCAATCAGCATCTGTCGGCTGCTACCGTCACTATAAGTTCC